AGCATTTGCTTACCAATTTCAAAGTTATAGCATGAAAGAGTTAATGATGAAAAACTCAAGCATACTGCTAAATTAAAACAGGTGAAATTCCCACTATTATGTTGAGATGAATACAAAACATTAATATTCTAAATATATAGACTTACTATCAGTTAATGTGAAAGTTTCATCTTCATTTTTGATCAGTTTAATATCCAACAAAACATTCTGCCTCTCATCAGAAAATGGTTCCACTTTTATCTTTAATATTCCAATGATTACACAGAAGCATCACCTGTATAATCTGTAAAAAAAAAAGTTTCACAGTAAAACTACAGAGAAATAATATGAGAATTAGAAGTTGACCTTACAAGGATTAGTATAAAATGTTTAAATATAAAATCACATTATCTTGATAACTTTCATTTCAAGATTGAAGCTTTATCTTTTCACATATTTATATTAAAACAGTCACATTATTTGAAATAAAATGACTTTAATACAAAATAAGTAAAACACTAAGAAAACCTTTACCATGAATTTCTAAACATGTAATGATTGAGGATTAGAATTTTACCCTACTGATTAGATTAGATACACTTCACATGTACCAAAACATGAAAAACTAGAACTATTCTAATAACCTTGAATCATTCAGGAGTTGAATTACTAACTTTCAATCTTTCCACAAATACCAGTTGTATTCGGAAAGAATAAACCAGTTTTATTTAAGAAAGGACTTGTGTCGCTAAAGTTTCATTGGAACGCATTTACGGAAAATTAATTAACGAACGAACGGAGACGTAACAATATATATCAGTTAGACATTTAATTCTAAAACAATAACAACAGAAGTGTGGGCCTTACTACAAAGAAGGGAAAATGCAAAAATCTTGTGGTACTGGTACTAGTAGAATTAAGTACAAATCTCACAAGTTTATCATTCGAAATACTGAATCATATTATTATTATGAACTAAATAGAAAATTAATGAACTTAAAACTACAAACTTAAATGCAAAAGAATATAAAAAATCACAAACTCTTTAAGTCCAAAGTGCTAAGCCTAATTGATTAAAAGACCTTGCATTCACCACTCGTTTGCTCTTAACCCTAACAATAGTGGATAAACTTCTTTCCTAGAAAATATATCTAATTTGAATTAGTTTTCAATATAATCATTGAAATAAATAGATATACGATGCAGCATCACTTAAGCTATGATAGAAAAATAATAAAAGTCACGTACATCTCATGCAGTTTATTCCAGAATCAAGTTTCTAACGCTTATTGTAAAGTACTGTCACGACTGCGGAGGTCACGCGACACTAGGAGCATGCGCGTTGAGGTTCTCTATAGTTCACGAATTTTTCTGGAAACTCAATTTTGTTCGAAGCGCACTCTTTTTTACTGTATAAGCCAACGACAAAAACCAAAAGTATTAAAGATATCTTGCGTTAGCGAGTCACATGACTAGTGTGACGCCACGTTTCTAGAACTATCCGGTACCTTGGCGAATGCTCTAGTATTTACTAGATATAGGGTAGTCTGATATATAAAAGAGGGTGACAACGTGACGGGAGAATAATGTAATGTGTATGTTTAGATAGTGAGTAATTGAACTGTAGTCAGAAGTATTATTAAGGTTCGTTGATATAGCGTTTGTTTTAGCGCGATTGTTGAAAATAAGTGTATCGTAAAGTTGTATTAGGAAAGAATAAACCAGTTTTATTAAGTAAAGAACTTGTGTCGCTAAAGTTTCGTCGGAACGATGTTATGGAAAGTTAATTAACAAACGGAGACGTAACAAATTAGTGTCAGAAGTGGGATAAGAAAAAAAAAGAGAAGAAGATGGAAACGAGAGGCGGAAAATCAAACTACAGCTTAGCAGATTTGATGGCAGCAATACAAAAACAAGAAAAGAAACAAGAAAAGAAGAGAAATTACAACAGTT